GAAAAGAAACATAAAGAAACTCAAACTCAAAGTAACAAGGATTTTGTTGCTTTGATGTCATCACAGTCACTTAAGAAAACAGCCTTTTAAAAATGTTTTAGGCTCTGAACTTGAAAGACAGCTTTTGCCTAAGATTCGGATGGAAGCAGCCAGCTAATGCTGTTTGTTCCCTAAATCAGGAACCCAGAGGCTGCCCGAGATGGCATTTGCCAGGTAGGAGATGTATGCCACCTAACCTAGCTCTGAGCCTATGGTGAGTGCCAGAAAACGATGCGAAGAAGTCTCTCTTTTCAGGAGAAAGCCTTTCTTGTTTCAGTTAGTGGGGTTTGATGCTGTCTCTGAAATACAAATATCTTTTCTTATGCTACAAAAAATAGTTTCCTTTTTTTTTTCTTAATAAAATATAGCTTTTAAATACTTAAAAAAAATTTAACTATACAATATTGTAAAGATTGGAACTTTTTATGTTAATGAGACAGCTCTTGATATACTATGTTCTTTGACCAAAGTGGGACCAACCATTTGGATGCTTCTCCTTTTCTTTTATTGTTGGAAGACGTCCAACTTTTGATATAGTGCAGATAACTTTGTAAACACCACCAGGAATAAAACAGGAGCTGTACATGAATCACTGGGTTTTGGGGCCCAGTGGTGAAGGAGGCAGAAATTACGTACGTTGACAACGGAGTTTGGTCTCTCCTGGTGTGACTCTCTGATGTAGTTCATGTGCATGTGACGGATGCTCTCAGAAAAAAACACAAAAAGACAAAGAGAGTTTCATCACTGCTGCGCACAGGGGCTGGGCATGTGCAGTAGGTGACTCAGAGCTACTATGTGTAAGTAATAATCATCACGTACAGGGACTAGTCCAATGGAGCTAGTTTGTAGCTGAGGCCTCCGTAGGCAACTGTAATATGAGCACTCAATATGAAAAATAGCATGTACTATAAAATAGATCCTCAGTAAAAGTCACACAATAAATTAGTATAAAAGTGGCTGAAACGTTGCAGAAGCAGAACGAACAGGGCAATTTAAATATCCCAAGTACTTTATATATTACTAACAAAAACCTGCTATTTCTGTGTGTCTTTGGGTCCATCACCATTCAAACATCCATTGACCTAAGAATCAGAAGAGTGAGCTAAAACTCAAGCAATGGAGTCAGTCAAGTGTGATGAGTTTCAGTACACCATCCAAATACATGAGAAAAGCTGGGCTCAGGCATTTTCTCCTGAGAGAAGATTTATGGCAATAAGATGTGTCTGACATGGAACTGATCTCCTGGTTTGATGGTTTCCGAAGCACAGCTAACACATGACTAACAGTCGCAAGCCCCCAAGGAGTGTGGCATTTCACGTGAGTTGCTGGACACTACGTTACCTTCTCACTTACCTTCAATCTTACTTCACAGGTCTTGTGCTTTGCATTTGATGCATCCTTTAACACCCTTATCATCAGAAGTAAAAAAGATACTTCCTATTTCCTTTTCCCAGTTAAGACAAACACTTTCAATCTGAGATGGGTCTTGGAATACAAGGGTAGCAAAGTTTAAAAGTGGAACACAATCATCAGAGCTGTGAGGCTAAGCCTCAACAAAATCCATCCAAAGGCAAGTTCACTGCTATTTTAATTTCATTCCCCGTCTTCAGAGCTAGAATGCAAAGTACACCAAATTGAAGAGGGTTATCTCTGAAGTAACAAGAGCTAGATCTTTAATTCAGTTGTACCTAATATGACTGGAGGATCTTTGGGCTTACTCCAAGAGAAATTACAGCAAATTCTTAACCCAAAGAGAGTTATAATCGCCTTCATCCTTGACAAGCACCCTCATTCTCTGCAGCTTCTCAGAAGACTAAAACCTTTTGTGTACAACCATTGCTGAGGCTGTGGAGATCTGCACTGAACAAGAAAAGGAAAATGACATAATAACTAGAAAACAAAACAACAAAAACAGTAACCATAGATTAGCCCAGCCTGACAGAAAGTGAATGGCTTCTGATACAGGGGATGGGATTGTCTAGATTTATCATTTGGGAAGAAGCATTTTTAACATCAGAAAACAAAGAGCTGGTAAACAGTACTCAAAGGTATTCATAAGAGTAGCACATTCTTCTTATTTCCCCTTTTCCTTATCGCATACAATACTAAGGAAAGGCAGCCTTGTCCTTTATGCTACATAATAACACATCCTTCTTGAGTGTGCACAACCTTGTGCTTCTGGTGTGGTAAACATTACAACAGAGATGCCCCTCCAATATCTCTGAAGTGCAAGTTCTCTCCAGCACTTGCAAGAAACAATCGTAACAACTGCTGTTATGCTTTGCATTCATTGTGTTACAGGTTGTTTTTTACTTTTTGAAGGTCTTATCTGCACCGTGTATCTGGGCCAGTTCCAGCTGATGCAACTGATATGGGTCATGAGTTCGTATATAAAAACATCAGTTTTGCTCACGGTTGTCTTTCAGATGGACAATATCTACAGGGAGAACGAGGATGGATGAAAGATATATTTGATCAGCTCCTAGTACTGGATTCAACTGTTAAGAAGTAAGATGGACTGTGGTTTGATCTAGAAGATGGGACATATAAAAGCTTGGAATGCTTGATGAGGATTTTTTTTTTTATTTTTTAATCAACGTAGGTGGAAGTAAACATTTATTAACATTTGGTCAAGTGTAGCGTAACTTGCATTTGTATTTTCATTGTTATTAATGGAGGTATGTAGAGATATACAGAAACCTTGAGACAGTTGTTTTTCTATTGCATACAGACTAGCAGTCCATTGGAAACAGAGGATGAAAGCATGAAGGTTAGATCTTAGAGGGCGGCAGTTCTTCATGCACAGCTTTTATCAATCTTGATTTTTGTTTGTTTGTTTTCAAAAATAAAAACATGGGAAACCAAAATCAAATGATGGTGGAAAGGAAAGGTGACATCATCAGCCAGAAAAACACCAGAAGTGCCTGAACTCCCTCATTCAAGTCCAAAGGTACTAGTTTCTTCAACAGCTGTCAACAGCTTTTCATACAGCATAGAATATGAGGGGTAAGGTGGAAGATCCAAACGGTTGAAACATGTGTGTGCCCTGCAAAAGGAAAATATGCTGCATGTTAATCTAAATAAACACTCTAATGAGAGAAAAAAAAGTCCTGCTGAGACTCAAGACACTCAAGTTCACTTAAGACATATCATTCTAACACAGAAATTCTAACTCTTAAAGTAAAACTCTTAAATTGCCCGAGGTCAGACAATACTGAAATGTATGTGTGCATGCACATGTGAATTTCAAACAGAAGAGACAAGCTATTCCTTCTTTGGATATTGCAGGTATCCACAGGGATCTTCATGGAGAAGCATCCTGGAGGTCAGTGAGGAACTGCAACATCAGATAGAAAAATGCTACTACTCTAACTTTGGTTGCTTTGAGATTTACCACAAAATGCAGCTCAGCTGTACATCCAACATGAGCAGCTAGTAAGTTTGGCACCAGTGGGCAGGCATAATGTGATGAACTACGATGACAACATGGGCTCCATGAGTGCTTATAATGAGACAGGACTGACTGGAAAAAGAGCACTCAGAGATCTTGAATCCTGGTAACTGAAGAAGAAAGGTTGCTAAAAATGTTCCTCCAAGTCATCTGTAAGACATCTGCTGCAAATTTGGCCTTTAAATGTAATTATTTATTTGTGGTAGCCAAAGCAGAAGCAAAATATTTTCTTCCCAAAGCAAGCTGCCAACTTGATGACCCTCTTCTTTCCAAATTCTGTCATTACATTTACCCCCAGTTAGCAGCATCTTCACAAGAGCCCCTGCAATGGGAACTAAACTTGGCTCCACCTTGTTGCAGCTTTCCTAGTGGCAGCAATTAGACCCAGCTGTGGATCCCTCTTCACCAAGTGAGGAGACAATCCCTGCCTCAAACAGCTCATCCATTTATACTGACTGAAAAACACAGAGCTCATTCAACATGGGGACACACTTTCATTAACATTATTTTTTTCAGTCAACTTGGAGGTTACATGATGTGAAGAATATTTCTGTTTCCTTTTGCTCTATTAAATGTGAATTGGCCAAATGCTACAAAGGCAATACAGCCTCAAGGGCTAATAATGTCTAACCATCTGGTCCTTGGTATTGTTAGAAGAAGGGGAGTTGTATTCCTTCTATCTCCTCTAGCTCATTTATCTCCTAGCTTAATACAATGCTATTTCTTCAGTACAGAAACTGAAGAGCTATGTTAGAGTGGACACTATTTGAAATCCTGTTAGCCATCTCTTCGGCCACACGTGAAGTCAGAAAAACTTGATATTGGTAGACTGGCTAGCCAGAGACTTGCAGATTTGAAAGGAGAGATTTATCCAGCACCTGTGGTGAATCAGGCAAATGAAATAGCCAGAAGCATGTAATCTTCACTGTATCATGCTATTTCAATTAGGAGAGCTTTTACAGTCTTTTCTTTTCCCCCTCCTAAATTATTTCTTTTTCATGTTAGCTGGTCACTCTTTGGGAGACCGTACAATAAGTAGGATTTGTTGAACTAGCTGGGTACACATGTGAATTGGAGGAAACTATGAATAAACAAAGCAATTATTTAACACATCTCTTGAAATTAAACATGGTAGATCATGTGTGCTATCCTGAGGAGCTCTGCACTGTTTGTTGTTTATCTCAGTAATTTTTGGCAACGTAAATTGTTTCTCCAACCCATTGCCAACACGTATCAACGACTGGGAGTTAATGAACTGAAAGATTCACTCAGTGCATTCAGGACATATTCACCCAAGCAACGGGGCACCCCTCAGGGACACCCAGCTCAGTGCAGAGCTCCACAACGGGACGTGGCTTCGTCACGACAGCTTTGGGGCGGGCTGTGACTCTGCTGAGCCCAAAGTGATTTCTCTGTAGGGTATTCAACTTCAGGCACATTGAACTGTCTGAAAATGTGGCATTTCAGACACCTCTGTCTTGTACTGTGCTATGTGGTGCCAGTATGTCCACAGCCAGTGGTTCTGCAGTTTATTCTCTGGTAGGCTTTTGTGTAGGAGGAGACGGATCATCATCTCTCTCACTTCAAACTGGCTAATAAGCAACCTTGCAATGTTTTTGACTTTTTTTTAGTCCTTCTTGGTCAAATTCAGACTAAAGATCAATTCATTTTCCTATTACAAGGTTCATGGAAGTGGGCTCTTTATAGAATGCCTCAAGGAGTGTATTGTGGGAGGAAACAGGAAGGAAGGCAAGGAAGGCAAGGCAGGAAGGCAGGAAGGCAGGAGGGAAGGAAGGAAGGAAGGAAGGGGTAACATGTCTAGAAGCATTAAAGGATCTTGTCAAGCAATACTCTTGTGTTCTCTAGTTCAGTAACTTTATACTAAAAAAATTCTTTCCCTCCAAAAAGTCCCACCACATCAAAAAGGAAAGCTAATTTTCAGCAGTACTAAGCAGGTTAACAACTCTACCTTCTCAGGACGCAAAACACAATACGAACGCTGGTTAAAGGGCAAAACCTGAGGTCTGGGGAACAAATGCAGATCTGCTGCAACTCCAGTGATGCTGATGAAACCCAGTCAATCTTATGGCTAGGTAGTTATGTGTAAAGTTCTCTGCTATGATTTTTGTGTTGAGCCCAAGTGGTTTTGTGCTGCAAAGGCCACAGTGTCTTCTCCTACAGGTGGGTAAGTTCCTTCAGAAAGGAGCTGACCGCCTTGGTGAGAAGGACTGCAGCAGGCATATTTCAGGAGACACGTGCTATTTTGTAGTACTGGGCTTGCTGTACATTTTGGTGTGAAAACATTGCATCAGCAGTAGAAGAAACAGTCACTGCAATGAGAAAAGTCTCTCTTCCTTTAATTAAACCTCCAGCCACGCAAACCTGCTGACATTTGAGAGGGTGTTCGGGAAGTGAGAGGTCTGGAATAAGAATTAGATCAGTAAGGGCTTTCATGGAAAGCATTCTGGCTTCTCCAGAAGAAAATGCAAGATAAAGTCATGTAAAGCAGTTCTGACCCTCACATGCCCTCATCCTCTAGTAAAGCAGTAAAAGGATCACTTAAAATTTCATCCTTCCTGGCAGCTTGTTTTTATTGCTCACAGCAGTTTTAGTAGGTCCAAATTCTTAATCTTGCTGACAGTTCACAGTGCTATTTATTTCCTTTTAAGAATTCTCTCTAAAAATTATGTGTTAAGCTTTTAAGCTTTTTGCATTCTTCTTTCCTTGTCACTTCTGTTAATCCCCATAATGATGAGAGTCCAAAGGCAGCAAATGCACACAGACTCCCTCCTATCTAATTTATAGCTTGGACCTGCCAACTAAAGACAGACTTGCATCTTGACATAACCCTGCCAGTCAGACAGAAACCGGACCTTTCTCCTTTTCACTTTGCTGTCTTTAAAAAAACCCACAACCCCCTTTGGATCAACCTCAAGGCTTGCAGATATTACTTCTGTTCCTTCGGTTTGTAAAAAGGAACACTTGTATTCTCTCTGGGAACCAGTGAATAATAGATGATTGTGGACTTGTAGATGATAGCGATAAATGAGAAAAAAAAAGAGGAAAGAGAAGCAAGGGAGTTAAGGAAAGAAGCAGCAAAGTGCACACACACACTCTACTGGGAAAGGAGGAAAGGATGAGAAGAAAGTTCTTTGTAGCTGCACAATCTTTTTTAATTGCTATATGGGATTCTTGGGACTTCTCTTTAAATATTTTATCATCTAATAGGGACAGAACTCTCCTACAAAAGGTCAAATATTTACCAGCACTGATAATTTTTATCATACCTAACCTGTGGATGGTATCCTGACAACTACTAGTATGACTCTGCTGAAGGAAAATCTCTTTTGATGGAAGGGTAGGGTAGTTACAACTCAGCACTGATGGGGAAAAGACCTCATTGTGTCAAATGCGATTATTTAAATCCCTGGAATACATTCTGTGTTCCTTATTTAACTGTGATTCAAGAAGAACTTCCTTTGGAGCTGACATGAGTTTTGTCTGCAAGCAGAATGCAATCAGAAGATGGGACAGAGACAACCGCAGGTATTCAGAACTTTGGAGGCTGAGATGTAAAAGAAAGGAACTATTTTCTCCTATGCCTATAGTAGAAATCATTGCTTGTTCTTTCAATATGCATTTTTTTGGGGACAGATGTTCTGCTCCTACAATACTGCATGAAGCTATGTTATTCCAGGTAGGAAATCACCATTTAGCTTTCTAATGTGCTAGCACTCAAAGTAAATACAGATAAGAGAAATAACCCAATGTTGTGATCTAATCCTGTTTGTCCTGCACCAGCATTTTACACCACTGCTACATGCTCCGGTAGCAGAACTACTTCTGATGAACATGAGCACCAATAGCTTAGGAAAAAGCTTTTGGCTTCCCAACGTTCCTGAAAAGGATGTGATTATCCACAGGGCTTTCCAGAAGCAGTCCGGGTGTTATCCATTAGTGGTTATGCTTTTATGTCATTAGGTGACACATCTTTGCTCACTACAAGCAAACTGCAGTTGCATACTCCCTCACCAAATCACAGGATAAGATGCAAGGGAGTCTTCAAACCACATTAGCTGTCTAGAGCAGGAGGGAGTGAATACAGGAGGAGCCCTGGGCTCTTCTAACCTAACTAAAGCTATCTCAATCCTTTGTAAATACTTTGGAAATCTCAACACTTTGTAAGAAAGAGACCTGACAATGCATGGGCCAAACTAACATATTCCCATGATCCAAATTCTGCTGGGACTGCAGGAAAGCCAGATGCACCAGCTGTCTGGATCTTTAAGCAGGCACCTACTATACCATCTCTTGGGTTATCATGTCTACTGGGGCCTTAGGCGCAATCTGAACACATAAATGACCAAACCTGATGGTTGCTAAGGCCCATGGGGAAGCTCTCTTTCTTTCCATACACCTCTGGAAATGTGCAGCAAGGTAGCCCTCCCTTAAAGTTGGAGGAATTGTTAGTGGGAGACGGGAATTTGTTGCGGGTTATTTTAAACAGGTAAAGTTAGTGTGTATCATAGGGCCAAAAGGTCCACAAATATGACTTAGGACTTTTTTAAGCCTCTAAATCTAAGTAAATATATAACTAAATCTAAATAAACACAAGCAACCCATGATCAGGCATTAAAAAAAAGTTTAAAAAATATTTATTTAGTCACTTAACTAAGGATTTAGGGAGCCTCCAGGTTTAGCCTGTGTGTTTTATGTATTTCTTAACACTGTGTATACTTGGCAGCATCCCATAATTTCACAAAAATACAGGTAATAAATTCAGAGTGATCAAGCTGTGATTATTCCCTCCAAGCAAGTGCCATTTCTTTTTCCCCCCAGCTAAAATGAACACGGAGCTCTGAGACTTCTAAAAGGTGCTAACAACTTTCACCTGGAAAAGAGGCCTCTTTCAGGGAGAGCAAAGGGTTCAGCCATCAGCAGACAAACCTGAAGCTGTTAATGTGAATATCTCGGGGCAAACTCAGTGTGGGTCGTAAGTAACAACCGACACCCGAGGCGCACGAAGGAAAGTTAAGCAGAGGAGGAGGAAGCCAATTCCCTTTGAGAAGTGGCTGGGTCAGCGCAGGGCAGTTTGGGTGCCCACTGTCCCCTCTTGTCCCTTCCCATCCAAGCAGGGTGCACAGAGAGCAGATGCTGCCCTGCTGCACCTCGTGCTGGCCAGCCCCGAAACACATGTACAGAACCTGACTATATTGAAGCTGCACAGTCTCATCCCAGCAAACCAGCTCTCGGGCTTCCTTTCCTCCTTCCTGGCTGTTACACTGGCTGAGGTGCAGAGGACATGAGTCATTTCACTGGCCCTACGTGTTTCCACTTGCTTTTAAATCTCAGTGCCTGCATCTTGCTCTCATGTAGGCTTTGGATCTCTGCATAGTCTTTATGGACTTTAGTTGATGGAATTAAATCAGAGCAGACCAGGTGTGATTCAGCTGAGATATCTAAAAAATCTGTGTTAAGATGTGGATGAACCTTAAGAATACTCTCTTCCTTTTTCCTGGCCTTCACTGGTCAGGAAAACCTGACCGTAAGACATGAGCTGAGAAAGTTGCTGATGTGCCCAGGCCCAGCTCCTGTGTATCTCCACTGCACTAACAGGGGCTTGAACATTCTTGTGCTTGGACCAAGATGCTGCCCATATTTGGATTTTTCCTCTCCAGAGAGCTCTGGAAGTCCTCTCAGATCTGTGCTGTAAAGCATGCTTCTGTTTTAACAGCATGGATGGCAGAAAACTGGAAAACTGGATCAGGCTCATGCTTAATTAATTCACTGTCTGAATATGTCCATAAGGTTTGCAGGACAGATTTTGCAGTGTGCCATGAAAGTAGTTATGGCCTCCTCTGGATTGCATCTGCAAGCAAATGGTAAGAGTCCAAGGGACTGTCTGAAAATGCCTTTTTGCCTGCCCGGTCTTGGGCATTTCATGGAAGATTTGCCCTGATTCTAGCCAACCCCCTGGAGAGAGTCACCAGAAGAACTGACTGCAGGTAGCTAAGCTGCATAATGTGAGTGGGGTGAGAATTTCAGACTCCTCTGGCTTCCAGTTCATTAATTTAAATGTGAGTAGGCAATGAGGACCCAGGAGTGATGCAGGAAAGCATCCTTTGGAGGGTAAATGGTTGTGTAAAAGAGTCATGTAGCAAAAGTGTCTTAGAGGTCCTCAGATGCAGCCCCATGAAGAATGCTCTGCATTGCAATCTCGACAGTGTACAATCTCAAGCAAGTGTAGGACATTCAAGAAAACATGGCCCAGTAGAGAGGAGACGTACAAGTGCTGGTCAGGGATAAAGTGCTTGAGGAGACTTCAGAACTGAATTTATCATTGGCTGTATCACGACTCTCTTGGGTGGCCTTAAGTAGGTAAGACCACCTCTCTGTGCCCCCCATGTCCCTTCGTTTAGAGAGGAAGATGACCCCTGCTTTGGAAGGCAATCTGCAGTCTGTTGGCTCTGTATGATATTATGGCTCATTTACTCCTAGCTGGCTGACTGCACTAAATGTAACAAATTGGGTATTATCACCACATGGTTGAAAGTCTCTTTACTGAGTCTCCTCATGGTGAAAAAGTCAGAGCATCGGAGCAAATGAAGGGATTACACTCAGGTCTCTGGCCAAAACTCAGAGACAGATTTTGCCTTCTGTGGTTCTGTAACCTCCTCACAAGTATTTTTACTGGCATTTTGGAGGCAAAGAAAATAGAACCATCTGACAGGCTCCTGCTGTTCTGGATCTGATTCAGAATCAAATATAAGACGACTGGGTTTGGATCTAGGAAAAATTTTATCTTAACCACTTCCCAGGATTCAATGTAGTTCAAACTGAGCCTGCAAATCAAAAAGGTGGCAAAAGAAACATCTTTTCTCTGAATGCAGTTACAGAATAAGCTGAAGCTTGTCTCTTCGCAGGAGCTTTAGGATGTCCCTATTGTATTCATGATCCTTCACTGCAAGAGACCGCTTTTCTCACAGCAATTCTGTTTTTTTTTATTTAATCCTAGACTTGGCATACCTTGGGAGGGATGTTATTTTCCCCCATTTCTCTATACAGAAGCGCCGCAGACCGTTGCTGCCCCGGAGAGCCGCAAAGCCCTCATAGGGCACGCTTGATGTTCCAGTGACAAACTGCAACAACCGCAGTCTCTGCTCGTTGTTAAATCTCTCCACTGCTGCCCAGAACCACCGTATTACTATGTGTCCATCATGGTAACCTGAGCACAAAAGCAAGATATAACAATTAAATTCATACCCTCTAAGTGGTGATTGCAACATCTAAATGCATTCTCACTAACACGGGCAGAAGCTCTTACTGAAAAGACCCTGATCATAGCCCCAGTCTTATGCAGTATCTCTGGATACTATGAGTAACAAATTAAATTCCAAGGTACACGGCCTCTCACAAAAGCCTTGGCAAGCATGGGGTTATCTGCATGAAATATAAAGGACCAGTATTGAAATCCCACACAGTGTGCAGCCTGATGACTTAAAAAAAAATCTGGTTCCCAAATACCTTTTCTTCTGGTTGTGTTAGTGTCCCACATACGGAGTGGAGTTTGCTGCTGCAAGTCTTTCCCTGGCAGACTTCCTACCTCAGGGGCTCTGTGCCTTCATTTGTGCTAGTGAAAACCAGCATAAACCCAGGATAAATCTGTCTCAACAGCACTGCTGAAAAGAATAACTTAGGAGACCAGTCCTGCTTGTGGTTAGCTGAGTATTTCAAGTTAACACAAAGGTTGGGCAGTGAGCAGCAAAGACTTATGCCTTGTATTTCAGGGGAGGATATGTGAACCTCAGGGACCTTCCTTTTGTAGTGCGGAACTGGTGGATTTCAAATTTATCCATCATTCAAGAGAGGCTGAATAAATCATGTTCAGCATTTAAAGCAAAAATAACTCATCTTGACATAGTTTAGGTGGAAGGGAATAGCTAAGAAAGATCTCTATTTTGTTGAGTGTAATTGGGAGCAATGGAATTTGGCTCTTCCTTTGCTGCTGAAGCTCTTGGCTTGTGATATTATTTCCAATGAGGCCAAGAGTTCATTCACACTCACCAGAGTAAGTAATGTTTAGATCAAATACTGCATATTCTTTTCAGTCTTATTAGTTAAAACTCCTGTTAAGTCGGTAGAAGTTGAGACTAAGTTAAAACTGCTGTGAAAAAGCAATTCCAAATTTCTAAACCTGTTGATCAAATCCTGAGGTCTTACTTATTTTGTTCCACGAGTTATCCTTCACAAAAACTTTCTGAATGAAATAATTGTTTCCTTCAGGAAAGGCAAAAGGAAAAAATGGACTAAATCTTTCATAAGTTAGACTGGAAAATACCCGGCAAGCTGTTAGTAAGCTTCAGCTTCAGAGTTTACCTCCACGATACTCTGTGTTGTTACGCCAGTCATTGAGATCTATTTCTGCAGTGCCAGCAATAACCAGCTCCAGTTCTCTGGCATCAAAAACAGAGACAAGCCTGGAGTCTACGACCTAGAACACAAAACACTAGTAAGCACAATTTCAGATGGGAAATAAAGCAGATGGACAACTTCCACTCTGAGAAATCAGTGCTCTTCAGCTAGTCTGCTGATGCTTTGTGCTGCAAATAATACTGACACTTGAGATTTGACCAGAATAAAACAACACAAGTGGAAGGACATAGTTTGCACAGAAGATTTTTCACTGTACCATTGGTTCTGACAAGTGATTTTGATGGTCAAACGGACACTGGATTTGTAATATGGAGAGTTTCTTTTCTATTATTTTGTTTACATTGGAATATGTTTACAGTTGTTCACAGCAGTCTCAGATCTTCAGAAACTCTCAGCCTCAGAAACTGACAGTGCAGTTTCGGCTTCAGGAGAGGTTCATCTTCTTTGTGACATGAAAAGAAAAGCTTTAACAGTCTGTAGTATCCACAAGAGAAAAACAAAACAAAACAAACAAACAAAAACCCGGAAAAACCCCCAATCCTCCCCAAAAAAACAAAACAAACAAACAAAAACCCCAAAAACCCAACCTGGAGAATCACATGAACAGTTTTGTAGACTGTAAGGGGTCATCTGGCCAGTCCCATTCTACAGCAAAATCTCTGACCATTTCTATTCAGCTACAAAGTCACCCAAACCAGTTTCTATCCCCAGTAAATGTCTGTGCATGTTTTCCTAGTGTCATCAGCTACTAGTACTGCTTTGTGTGCGCCTTATCTGTTGCTTCATTTTCCTGAGCTTCCAGATTCTTTTAGTTTACTGACTATAAGCCAACTAGCTTGCCATTCTTGAGTTTGTTCTTTTAATTTGTTGTGGCAGGGTAAAAGTTTTCAAACCATCACTTTTCTTACTGTAGGAATGGACAGCAATGATCTTTAATGGTGTCTCAGTTCTACCTATGGTTTCCTTTTCATCATTATGCTTTATCATATTCACGTTACGCATTTCTTCCTTTCTCCCTTAATGCTAAACGTCATCTGCAATGTTCCTGGCTGCTGCAGATTTGGGTGGTCCATTCCTGTCCACTTCTGCCTTTTAAGCTATTTCATAGGGTGCTGACGCAGCATAGTTTAACCACGGGGTTACCAAACTGAGATGATGAATGCATGATGGTGGGAGCATCATTTTTAACTTACTTCGTAGAAGCCCCGGACCAAGGCCTCTGTTTGCTGAACAACTCCTCGTTCCACACGCCATTTCACCATTCTCTCTATGTACTCTTTTTTATTCTTTTCTGTCACTGCCGTATTTGCCCCTCCAGATTTCAGTTCCCTTTCTGTCACCTATCAAACAAAGAAAAACAATGGGGTAGCAACATACGGATGATTTCTTGCGTCAAACTTCAAGTTGTGCTTTGAAAATATAAGTAGAAAACAAATACAGCAGCCATATTTTGCATTGCCTTGGCTCTTCATCAATTTGTAGTAAAACATAAAGCATAATGAGGGGGTTTTGCTACCCTCTTCAGTTTTCTGCTGCTATAACAATGATGTTTAACAAAGATAGTAAATAAGCTGCATGAATACATATTCATTATTTCTATTATTTACATATTATTTATATTATTTATCTATTTATTAGCCTAACAGATGGCATACAGCGTATATTTAGGTCACTTAGCTCGAGGGACTTATAGAAACATCATAAATTATGAAAACACTCAGTGAGTCACCTAACCTGTAGCTTTGTTGAGAAACAGCAAGAACAAGTAAGGTTGCATGTAACAAGTTAGGAATCTGCAGCTGGTGCAGGTTAAATTCCCAGCTGTAAATCACTGCATTGCCAAGGGCAGCATCCTCCGGAGGGGAAGACTCTGGCTGAGCCGGCCCCCTGTACTCGTCGATTGTGCAGCACCAGGATGTAGCTGGTTAGAACCACAGCTGAACACTGGCCTTAAGCATGCCCTTGGCCAGTGTTCTGCATCTCCTGCAAAGCTTCCCATAAAAAGCCTGACATGTTGCTGACCGATTTCTTCAACTTCTCATTATCTGTGCAATTTCAAACACAATAGATGATCTGCACTTGGAGACAGCCAATCCCTAATAGAGGGTCCCTGTTTTTTTCTCTTCGGTTCAGATAGGTTCAAATCACAGCTGTGAGCTAGAATTAAGAATTTTATTTCAGAGTAATAAGGAGATATTTTAAGTCCAAAAGGAAATGCTCCAGACTAAATACAACTAATTTTCACCTTATAACATCCAGAAAACTATGTTTTAATGAAACCTCCATGTTAAAACTCAATATCAACAAACTTGATGGATTTTTTTTTTCGCTCTTAGACTGCCCTTATGTAGTCTATCAAATAGCAGGCCAATTTGCCCCACTCCTTTTGCCTGACTGGAGCAATTGCCATGACATCTATATATGGGGCTTGGAGGAAGTCTTGGAAGAACATTTTCTAGTGCATAAAAACAGTTAAAAGTACAGTGAGCAGCTGCCACCTCTTGATGTTTTCAAATTGGCATCTAGTCCCCACTGGTAAGACTTTGGGACTCTTAGTTCTACATCGTACTGTTGAATTAGGGACCTGTAGGCAGTAAGACTGGTGCTCCTCTGTAGTAAGTGCTACTAAAAAAAAGGTTTTACAAAAGAAGATTCAGCCCCAAAAGTTAACAGCTAAATTCACAAGCCAGAGATGAGGCAGGAAAGAAGTGATGAAAGAAGCAGTGACTTGTCCATAAATAAAGTCATTGTAGAAGCAGGAAAAAGGCCCGTGTCCCATCTACAGTATAGCTTATCAAAGAGCTACTCTTTGCTTTGCTTACCCAGCCCTTTAAATGCAGCTTTACAAATATTAGCAGAGTTCCTGCTGTGCTCTATGGTTGCATAGGTATCCAGCAAAGCAGCATCCAGACAGCATTTAAGTGGTCAGATATTTTTGACATTCAAGAATTCCCAACTGAGATCCATCTGTGAGTAAAGAATGTGATTGTGATTTCTCGGGGATTTTGCTGGCAGCAGTTAACTGGCTGCAGAAGAGGGGGGCAAATCTCACGTTCACTTAGGATGCTTGGATTCTGACACTCTAAATTCGTGGTGAGAATAATTTTTTTCCATCACTAGTTCTAGCAAGGTTAGTGTCTAGTACTTACCAAGTAATAGACAACATGCAAGCTGGCATCAAAATCTGGCTCAAAGTGTTCTTTTGCTTTAGCATCATGGTATCTGCACAGCAAATTATGATTTTTTTTAATCTTTGGAGCTACCTCCTTTATCATCCTGAGCAGTCTCCTTTGCAATCGTCTAACTCTTTTTTTGTGACATTTATAATCAGTAATTAGTGCACCAAATGTTACCTTCAGATGTACCAGGGCAATCCAGACTGAGATTCTTATTCACCTTTGTAGTCTATCAATGCAAACACAAACTTGTCTCATCTGTCATTGCAAATATATCTGCACGTTCATGTCTGTCTTCATTCATTAGTCTTATATAGCCATACCTTCCACGAAAACTGCTGCACTGTCAGTTGAATGTCATGTAAACTCTCAGCTCAAAAACAACAAACAAACAAAAAACCTCAATCAACCTGCATTTAGGCCTGTGAAAAACAGTGTTATCTTTACTGAGGCCTCTTATTTCAATTCCTCTTCCTCATCATTTTGATCTCATCCCATTGACCCTGCTCATCCCTCACTCTTTGCTCTTTCCTGATTCCTTTGCCTCCATTTGCAGTATAAGCAGACCAAAATCACTTCTGAAAATATCATCTAAAGTCTTGCTTACCTTCTGCTACTTTCAAGCTCCTTATTGCTGAGCTGAGCATTTATTCTTTATTGGAGCGTCAGAGCTCCTCCCCTCCAGTACTAGTCCAGCTCTCCACCACCTCTGCAGACTTTCACTCTGTACAATCTGCTCCTGCCAACTCTGCTTTTGAGGTCCAAGAGCCACTGTCTGTATATTCTAGCCGATCACTCCCTTGGACACTAGCTGTCAGCTAACACAATGCTTAACTTTTATCCTTTGAGCTTTTGTAGTTCATGGCAAACTTCGTTCTTCAGTCTCTCTAGCTTTTAGCATCTCCTCTGATGTCTTTAAGCTTCTCCTGAATCTTGCTTTGGTCCTTTCCAAGATTTTCCCACATTTTTCACTCCCACATTATCGGAGGCTGTTTTCATGCAAATGCTTCCAAATCTCCCTATCTTATTTATACATCAAAATCAACTTCATTGAAAATAATCCTTTTTTACCCCTACCTTTTCCTTAGATGCAGAACAGGTTGTAACTGCAAAGAGGATCAAGGCTTTGGTACAAGCAAAAAAAATCCCCAAGAAACCCTGGCATCTATTCTGGTTGCCAGGCTGCACTGAAGCCAGGCCTGGTCCCTCTTGAAGCCAAAGTTATCCGGATCAGCTAGGTTAAAGGGAATCATCTGACTAATACAGAGGTAAGCAGTAAAAATTATTATGACCGGAGGAACGTACCAAGATGTTATCAGGGTGAAAGGTAGTGAAGAGACGCAGAACATAACAAGAAAATATCTCACAAAACTGTGATGAGGATTGCCACGTCTTTCACCACCTGCCGAATGTTTTTCTTCTGTCTGAACCCCATCCTTTCAGTCTCACCAGCTTTAAGTTACATTGCTAGCATTCACTGAATGCCACTGTGGTATGAACTACACCCTGGAGAGAAGAGCTCTGCTCCACTCCAGGGAATTCCTCATGTTCAGCAGTGTGTGGCTTAACAGGCCTGCAGGGGATCTGGGGCTGGAATTTTACCTTATAGAAAGCAAGAATAGCCATCTGCAATGAAAGCAGGTGGCTGAAAGAAACAGAAAATAGGAGAAGAAAATGTTATTGAAAGGCCAAAGGATCTGTTTTGACAGAATGGTGTTCATCACGCTCAATTGTGTTAGCTTCAAATTTGTTTTTCAGATGTGTTGCATAGGTAGTGTGCTCACCTGTCCAAACACCTCCTCATTCACTGTGAAGGTGAGATCCAGGATATCTGTGATGTTATTGTCCTTCATCCACTGCAAACTCTGATGGAACTCTTCATCCAGGTACTCCAAATCACTTAAATCACATGGCCTGATTGTGAGGCAAGACAAAAAGATGTAACTAAAGACAATTCATGACTACTGGCAGGATGACTTACTCTTCAGAAAATAAACAAATTTACGATAAAGACCTAACATAAAGCTTGGCTTTGTTAACATCAAAGCCTGTTTCACAGACCCTCTTATAACAGTTCTGGAAGCGTCTGCTTTGCATGGCTGGGCTTGAGGCCAGGTCTCTTGGCTGCCTGCACTATTTGCTGTCGGAAGGCATCCCTGGGGCTTGATTTTATGTGAGTCTTGAGGATGCCCTGCACTTCAGAGCACATGCTTACCTTCAGCATGGATGGGCCCCACCATGCTGTGCCTGACTGCTTCCAGGCATCCCTCACCCTTGAGGTGAGCTCACAAGGCTGACAGAAGGCAGACCAGGCAGCCAAAACTTTTGCAGGGCCTTGCTTGCTGAAAGGGGAGATGGATGTTATGAACAATTTGGTCTAAAACTCCCCAAAGTGGCATAAGGATGCAGGGAGGACTCTAGTTTCTGGCTACTTCCAGGTCTAGCCAGCTCAGAAACAACACAGACATAACTGCTTGTATTCCAGTAGTAGTATTTTTAAAAAGAAATGAAATATACTTTAAAGAACGCAAAAGACTGTTAATAGAAATATCTTTGTTCGCCTGGATTCATGCTAATTTGCAAAGTTCCAACTAAACTTATTTCTGCTATTTGTCATTTAATTGCATTTTGATTTATTCTTCATATTTTTCCTTTACTGCAGATTTACATATCTTGTCTTATTGCAGACTGTTGATTAAGGAAGCAGAGAGTATCAATTAAAATATTAACCTTATAAAGGTGACATAAAAAGTAATACATTAATGGTAACTTCTGGTTGGAAGAGTATGAGACCTATAAAAGACCAACAAGAAGAATTCATTGGTTTATATCTACATTAGCATTCCTAATTAGCCTATTGGTGTTTAGAATTAAATTTTATCCCAACAGTGAGGCATGAGAAATTTTGTATTTTTCTTAATATGAGGAAAAAAATGTTTTAAGATGGAAGAACGATACCTGTTCCATAAAAGATGCTTTCATTTTTCCACACACAATTTTAATTGCTTTGAAAATTTTTCATCAGTAGTAAGCTTTAGAATTATGGGTCAGTACTTCCATCACCACTTCTATCATGTGTTCATGTAGGGCAAGTGGAGAAAAATCAAGAGGAATTAATAAGGCCTTTGGCCTTTAGTCTTCTTCCACAGACCAACCAACCAACAACGTAAAGAACTGCAAGGTCAGAATGCTCCAAGTGACTCCTCAAGAGTCTAGATCCAAGTAGGACTCATTGCTTGATCACCAGTTATGCTTGGTTTCATGCTTATACTCACAGTCTTAGTAGTGCTTTGTAGAACGGCCTTGTGAAGAAAGCATCAAGAAGGTACTGATGAATGAGAGCAAGGCCAAGAATACGACCACTGAACCTGAACCTGGGATATAAAAACATAGAGTGAATGAAGTGTAACCCAGGATGCTCAGCACACAAACTTACACAGGTAGCAGTTGTCCTTTCGTTTTGGTCTCAATTACTTGCACTTACTTTCTTCTATTTTTTAATTTCAGCTTCTAACACAATCTCTCACATCTCTGAGTGATCAGTAATAGATCTTTTTTGATCCATCTCCTGCAGTACCCATAGTGCCTCATGGCTTTGGCAGCTGGCACACTGCATGTTCCCATATACAGAACAAGAAATACTCTCACTGTTCACTTTCTGTGATTTTTAGTTGGATGCTCTGATACAGATCAACTCCATCAAAGACTGCATTTAGCCAGATCAATACTGTACTCCATGTCAGCAAAATATACTTAATCTGTTTCAAAATAGATGCAAAGAATATGTGGTGAAGCCACATACCCACTTTCTAATGGTTACAACCCTTTCCTAGGCGGAGCTTTAAAGTACTTTAAAAGGGAAAGGAGTCACTGTTGTGATCAAGAGCACATATAATAATCAGTTAACTAAAGCTCAGGCAAATTGCCACCAGATCACTTTCCTAATCGCGATGCCCAGCTGTCTTCAGTATAACATACTCTTTTATTTGGTTTTGCTTCCTAAAAATGACAATCCCCCTTCCCATTTCAAGTACCTTCAAACAATGCCTTATTTTCTTCACAATCTATGACATGTGATAAAAATCTGCTGTATTTTTCTGATACCTACTAGATATTCTTCCATCAAATCTGTTTTTAAATCAAGTCTCAGGAAAAAAAAAAAAAAGAACTTGGATGAGTTCAGGAGAACTTATTTTTGTAAAAACACAATCCTTATCGCCCATCCAGAACTTGCTTATTTGTAGAATAGGAAAAGAAAAAGCACCACATCCCAAGTGTGAGCACCGCAAGCCTAAGCTGACACTGTAGTAAAGTTTTACAGCCCAAAAGAAGCAGCAGATCAAAAACCCAAGAAACCCTTCCTTCCACTGCAGGGAGCAGCGCAAAGACGCCTCCTGCCCACAAATGAAACACGAGCCTTGCTGTAACACAGGCAGCACAGAACATCCGTTCAGTCAGCTTTGTGCTCATGGGACAGTGCAACAAGTGCTTAGTCTGTCAAATGGGCCACAAAATAGTGGGCTGGGGGCCCAGTTAGCATTTACATCACCCCAGGAGCTGCCTCCACATCCCTGGCATCCAAGAAAGGTGCTTATGGTACGCACTGCCTGCTAACAGAAGAGTGATTATATTGCCCCCTTACAACTGATTCCACATCAGCAACAAAAGGCAGCTGTTGGGTCTCGTTAGGACCTGCTGCACTTCACCTGTGCTCCAGCACAAGTTTTCCAGCAGAAAGCAAAGAAAAGAGGGGGAGCTAACACAATGAAAGCACAGTGGAAGCCAGACGGCTAAGCCCCTAGAAACACAGAGCCTGTAATCCATCAGTTTTATAGCACCTTCAGGATCTATAATCAAGTCCGTTTGTCCTCAATAATGCATGTTGTCTTTTTTTGGTTTTACTCTTGGCCTTCTCTGCCCCCACATCCTTCTTCCCCTTTGCATGTTTGGAAGGAGAACCCTGAATGAAAACACTCTGAGCAAGCAGTCTTCCTCACCCCGCTGCCCGTCCCATGGCTACTAAACCATGCAGAGCTGGGGAAGCTACAGCCACTTGGAGTAAAGTAAAGCTGAAAGCCAATTGCCAAGAAAAGTTCCACTGACTTTGGAGCTCTGTTTCTGCTCAGAAATTGCCTGAACGTGTGAATGGGGTCAGGTTTTCTCTGTGTTACTAACATCACCTTATACCTCTACATGGCTTTGGGGGATTCCAAGCAATAAGGCAAAGCTGGTGTGGAAGGTGCGTGCATCTGGATAAGGTGTTTACAATCACCAGCACATGTTATGGTAGCAGTTAATGGAAAGTTTAATTTGAAGCAGTGCTTTATGGCAGAATTGTATTAAACCACGCAGAGGCCCTGGGCAGCGTTTCTGCGTGAGAAGACAAAGTCCAGGGGGTCAGCCTAAGCACACGTGCGCAGAGCAGCTCCATGTCATACGGCCTGCTGCTCCGGCCTTGCACTTGGAGCCCTCTAGGGCATGTCAGGACGCACTCAAAGCGCAGGCCCGACTCAGGTGTGACATGGTCCTAGGCCTTTTGATGGGACCACATTGCGTGGGAAGCCCAGTGCCAACTGGTCAGGTTAAAGGAGACAAAACACTTAACAAAACATTGTCATTCCCAATCCCTGGCAATTAAAGAGATCGTCCGGCGGAGCACTGGTCTAAGAGCAGGCTGTGTACTCGAGTAAGGTCTAAGAGTAGGCATGTACTGTGACAAGCCCGAGGAGACCTGTCTGAGGGACCTTCTTCCTTTAGACCATGGGTGAGAGGTCCTTTTGGGGGAAAAAAAAGCAAGTTTTCTTGACAGAATAAGCAGCACAGAGGTAAATCCTGACTGGAGGGCACATACCGTCCTTAAACCTGGCTTATCACTTACCTTTCCAAGCAAGAGTAAAGTGATCCTTCAGTTTCTTTCTAGGGGGACAAGATAACTTGGTAGGGGTGGGGAATGTGAAGACCTGTTCTGGTCCTTTCTTCCCACCCTTCCAAGACAAGGCCAAGATCCAAGTAATGCCCCCCAGCAGAGGGGGAAGAAGAGAAGGGGTTAATGAACAGGAAATGGTGGAATGAGAGGCAGAATTGCCGTCTCTCCACTCTGCTCGGCCGCTCAAAAAGGACATTGTGTGCACCTGCTTTCTGCTTTTAATAACGCTACTCTTGGACCCATTTGCAGGAGTTTCCACATTAAGCAGCCAACCCCCTTTCCTTCTGGGTGCTGCAGGTGCCCCTGAAGAAGTGCATTTTTGCAGCAGCCTCTCGCAAAAGAACTTGCACGTTCTCAGTAGGACTTGCCGTGTATTTGCCACATCTGAGTACACAGATGGACAAATCCATACACTAAAGCAGTAACTAAGAAAAACCTTCTCCTCCAATTGCAGATTACTCATAGGAAATTTAATTTACTTATCATACAACAGAGAATAACACAGGACCAATAACATGGCTCTCCCTTAATAGTGTAGACCAAAACAGCTGTACCTTACATGACAATCCTTGCTCGGGTTCGTATGGAGAACAGCATACCTTGACAAAATTGTAATCTGTGCATAGCAGGGAACGATGGGTTTTATTGGATGGGTTTCATTTTATCATCCTATAGAGGATGCTTTGATTACCATGCCTAGTGGTATGAGAAAATCTAAACCCTAAGTAAAGGAAGCACCTGATGGGATTAAAAAGATTAAAAGTCTTGCAAACCTTATCTCACTCAAGCAGGTCACTTGGGTTTAAGTGTAGCCTTCTTGATGCAGTAGCTTACTGAAAATAAATCATTCAAAGGGCTTACCAGAGCTGAATATAATATGGTTCACACTGTATTTGAAAATGGTATTTTCCTTTCATGAGACTACAAAAAACTTGTTTTCACCTATAACACAAATTCACCCACTCTGATGCCTCAGTTTCCAAGGTTCTGACCGTTTGATCGATGGGTGAACTTTTGGCAATCCAAAAGGGGAACTGAATAAATGAGGCTGCACTGTGGTACAGAGCTCCTGCCCTTGACAGTTGTCCTAAGGGAGAAGGACGTTTGGCAGGTGAATCCAGACAGAAATCCTACTGGCCCTTCCACATAGGGAGAGGCTATCTCTGACCTCAACCATTATTAGATACCAGAGAATCTGCAAAGGGGAAGGTATTTAAAATGGTCCAGTCATAGGGAAGGCATCATTCCCAACCTGCACTGGGGAACACCATGAGACACAACCCTACAGGAAACCAGGCTTCGCTGGTTCCACAGCTTGTTTTAAAGGACAGTTATAGCATCCATCATCATGAACAGTCTCATGAGCAGCCTCATGAGGTATGGAAAACACAGATTAAAAGGACTCTAGATCCATCCTTATAGCCTTTTTCTTTTCAATCTTATAATGGGTTGCATAGAGGGAAGTGTGCTAATTCCTAATTTTTTGATTCTGGTGGATTCAACATCACTAGCACTTTTTAAATGAAGTACTTTTTTTGCCCCTAAAACAAAGACTGTATTTTGGGCTAGAAGTAATGTAAAAAAAGTTCAAAGAATATGCATTTCACAGTCCCAGACCAGATGTTTGCTGGAAACCCACCTGGCCTGCACACCATGAATTTCATGTAGAACTGACAGTGTGCACCAGAGGTGTATGTTCGCAGCATATATTCTTCTACTGGCTCATCACAGTGATCATCATGTCCTGCGATGAGTGGCATCTACAGAGCAGTAACCTAGCAATAGATCAGATAATCCTTACAAAGCCTTGGCAGGGGCTCAAACTCACACCCTCTAGCAGCCTTCATTGACAAATGTCTTTGTCTAGCTGGGTATGTGTATCCAACTCATAGTGACAAAACTTTTGAACAGCCTAGTGCAATGACACTGAGTTATCTGCCATCAAGAAAGTCAGCCATGTGGGCTGTGATAATTAATGCTGTTTCGTTTATTGGACTTGCATCTGCAAAGTCTGTGAGCAGCCTCTGCACCACAGTGTCACCTGAAGCTGTAGCAAATTTGCTCTGCCCATCTGCAGGCTGAGAGGTGAACACAGGAGCATTCCAGCACGCCACCTTCTTGTTCCAGGAATCCGATGAGCTCAGGTTTGTTAATACAAGAGGAATGGCTCTTACAAATGCCAGGAGAAAAAAAGTTCACAAAGACTCAGCGTAATGAAGAATTAAGATAAAATAATTCCTCCATCAGCCATGAAGGAGAATTCCACTATAAGAAGTAACAAGGTTTTTGTTGACTCTTTTGCTGTCTTTGTATATGTCTCTTGTGTGAACAATTCTATGATGGTAGATTCTTGAGGTGACAAAGACATAATGGCAGATCGCCAGTATGGTGCAATTTCTTATGTCATACAGAGGCCTCATCCCACCTCCTCGACTATCTCATCATGCT